GAGGGGATCATCGAAGACGAATAATGTTCGTGGGTTCATGTGGTTGACATTGGCGCATTTGGCCAACGCTCTGCCGGAGAACAGTTGAACAGTGTCTCCCTTCCGAATTCTCCCCCGAACCGGGAACCTTGAAGTTGAAGCGTGGGGTCTAGAGAGCGCGATTTATTTCCTCACTTGCGGTGTGCCGAGCAAAGCCATCTATCGCTAGAAGCTACATCTACTTGATCCTACACAAAAACGATCCTAAACAAAAAGCCGTCGAACGGCTGTTCGACACATTTCAGTTACATCTCCACACAAAAAACACTATTTACCTTACCTTTCTATAACTTTGCACACACAATAAGTGGACCGTACAGAACTTTTTACATACAGTTTGCACTCTACAGGCTAACGGAAAGGAACAAAGATGTAACATTAAAATCGGTCTTTTAGACTCCTCACATTTTTAACTTCACATACCACGAAAAACACACCGCGACACTAAGTACCTTAAGTACTAATTACTCGCACTCCCGCCTCTTCCACGGTTCAAGTCAAAGTGAACGAGTAGAAGTTCCAGATACCCTCAGATAGGCGTGATTACAACGGTCATCGTGGCCGGAAGTACGTCAAATTACCGAAGCTATTCAACGACCTTTCAAACGACAATTTTCAACATCTTTCTCTCTGCTACATCTCTTTCCTTGTCATGCAATTTCAGTATACTATCTTGCTCCAATCTATTTTCGGTTATTCTTTTATACGAGAGAACGGTTCGGATTCGAACCCCGCATTTTGACGAACAGGTAGGGTATTCGGGTCAAATGGAGTGAATTAGCTGAACGTATCGGGAACTTGTTGGTTTTTGTATGACTATATATATATATGGACGTACGTTTCTTGGCGGTGAATACATTTATGAATTTAATTGTAAAAAATGAACGTTCATGCAATATACTTAAATGTGAAAATTGTATAATAGGAATTCTGTGCAAATAAATAACTAAATAATTAAATGAAAAAGTGTACTTGTTACAACATTCCCTAAAATTGGATTTGTGGTTTTCACCACAATTTGAACATTTAAATTTCTTAGGATCTTCCTTCACAGGACAGTCGTCCTTTGCGTGAGAGGAATCACCACAATTCATGCATTTAGCTGGCATGTAGCAATTTTTAGTTCCGTGACCCCATCCCTGGCACTTACGGCACTGAGTGAGGTTTTGGAAATTTCCTCCAGTCTTCCTGAAGTGTTCCAACTTCACTCGGACATGGAGCATAAGGCTAGCTTTTTCTAAGGCCTTAAGGTTGTTTAGTTCACTAGACTTGAAGTGAACTAAATAAAAATCACTAGAAATCCCGTTGCGCGAATCGCCAGGACGGGATTTCATTTTCATTTTGATTACTTGGAGTGGCACAACTCCAGTAATTTTGCCAGTTCATCTTTGATCTGACTCAGGGATTCACCACTGGGCAGTCCTTTCATGACAACCTTGAACACACGTTCAGTTTTGGTGTCGTAAGTAAAAAATTGTGCCGCTTCTCAGTAAGATACTTGAGAAGACATTTAAATCCGTCCAAGGTTTCAGCCAATAAACGGCATTCACCCCGACGTCCAATTTGTAGGGAAAACTTAACTTTCACGAAATTCAAAAGTTACATGCAAAGAGCATGGAAATCGAAAGTGGTTATCACAATAGGGGGAATCTTTTCCTTCTTGGCATTAAGCCGGGAAAGTTTACTAGAATGTTTCTTGGATGATGGATCATTCTCATCATCCGTGAGCAAATCAAATTGATTACTCAAATTAATTTCATCAGAAGGGGGTCAAGAGTTTGCCCCTTTCTTTTGCGATTAGGCGCCATGGCGGCAGTAAATTTTAATCCAAATCGACTTCCAAGCAGATTACTATAAGAATCTGAAGGATCGAAGAGGAATTTTCCAAATCGATATCCAAGAAGGATTACCTCGGGTAGGGTCCAAACAAGGATCGAAGAGGAATAAGAGTTGAACAAGGTAGAAAATTTTTACAGGTTGAGCACTGAAAAGTGCTGTTTAAATTTGTTGTAGTTTTAGGTAGTAGTAACACTTCCTTAAGCAAAAAGCAAATAGATCCGCACGGCAAGAGAGCACGATGTGGACTGACAATAGACACTACGAATCACCTTCTTGTCCAGTCAACCGGTCACTACAATTTAGAATTCTAATTTTCTTCCTTTAAAACCAAGAGTAAGTGACGTATGAAGGAGCCTCTATGTACGAATACAAAAAATGATTATCTGTACACGGTTTACTGTAGTTTGGTAATAAGCAGATCGGCAGAGCATACTACAGAAGACTAGTAATTTGGTATGCATTGGGCAGAATTTTAAGTATACTATCAAATGTAATCAACCTGGTTTTCCCAATTTTGCTCAACTTTGAGCTATTCACCTTGGAAATAGTGCTAATTTTGGACCAAAACCTTGAATATCTCAAGAAATATTGAAGATAGGGACTAGCTTCCCAAGACAAAAATTGATTTTTTGAAGGCTCCTACCAAAAAAATGAAATATCTCTGTAAGCATAATATATAGAGGGTTGTCGTCCTCAAAAAAACTGTTTGTTTTAATATTGTCTAAAGCTTTGCTCAAGTCATCATTTTGCTATCTCGACAAACAAAAAAAGGAAATTTTTCATTTCAGGAGGATTAATCATGAAATATCTAAGCTCAAAAGAAGGGGCTTTTAGCGTTAGCGTTAACGTTGTTATGATATACTTCGTAGATTGGATACTAGCGACACTCACGTCTCTTCAGAAATTCTCAGTTAGACTACTTTCAGGAATAATGCTGGGGAGTAAACATTGGTTCCAATCTAAACAAGAGTAACAGAAGCATGACTGTCGCTATTCCCGGCCACGCCTATCTTTACCATAACTAGGGATAGGGAAGGAAATGTTGATGTAGTACTTACTTAGCGAGAGGCCACCGACTTAGCGACACCCTCATAAGTGCTACGGAGTTGGAGGGTTGGGTAGGAAATTTGGTTAGGATTCACCTCAAGTTGGCGATGCAACCAAAAGTATATATTGTTTATTTGTTGTTTATTTAATCTCTCGATAGCCAAACATATTCATTTTGTTTAGTGATCATGAATTTTAAGAGTCATGACGGAGAGCTTGGGCTTCTGCTCAGTAAGCAAAATCGATCCCTCCAGGGTCATCGAGCATCTCATAATCCACAGCGCTTCACGTCAAAGTACGAATATATGGATGAACTATCTTTTATTGAGTAACTATTATTTACGATAGTTACATGAAAGAAATAAAATATAAACTACAAACAAAACGTGACTACTAAAATCTCAAAAATATATTCTCACAAATATATTTCACGCAGCCAGGAATCTCAAAAGCATTAGACGCTATAATGATATTCTACACATGTTAGACACAAGAAGAGGCCAAAAAAGCAAGCGTCCGACACACAAAACCTGCCAAATCCACTTGCAGTTACAATCAACGATTCTACGAATCGCGAGCACTCACAAATCATAAAACCGCTGACTGCGACACTCTGAAAGCTAAATTGACAGGCTCTATGCGTCAAACACCCGCTCTCCAATCTCCACCCCCATCCAACAACATAAATCTCCATTACAACATCTAACGAATTCAAAACTCCGAAAATCACTCATCTATAGCAAGTGAGTGGAAGCAACCCTGCATGGAACCATTCTTCATAATACACTTTTTCTACCTATATTTCTATTAGGCCTGTGGACATGCGTTAGCTTCGAAACTTATAACAAAACTTGGAAAATTTTCAGATCACAAATAAAAAAGAAAGAAAAAAACTTGAAAAAACCTTTCAAAGGTAATTACAAGTAAAATAAATATTGATTATTTTACGCAAAAACGAGCAAGTAACATTAAATTTCTCGTATGCTAATGCTAATTGATTGTAATAAAAATAATATGCTTAAATAAAAATAAATATTAATAAAATTTTATGCAAAATTTACTAGAAGATCATTACTTTATTGGTGAGAAGTTTCTAATAAGCCCTCCCAGTTCCTCTGTATACAGAACAAATCTGATACTATAATCAGAATTGCTCAGTCTGCATGAAGCAGCCGATTTCATAAAGAAAGTTCTATTAACAACCAAGAATTAATCGTTTGAGGCATACTGAAGCATTAAGAAGGTGATAAGTGTCACTATAGGAAATCATCATCGTTGCAAATATAAAGAAATTCTTATGTGCGAGATGTCTGAGATCAAATTGAAATCTAAATTTGATGTTGTGATTTCGCTGATAATGAAAGCTCAAAAGAAGGGGCTTTTTAAGTGCACAAACTTCTCCAAAGACACTATATGGCTTAAATGGACTGTTCTCGCATAAACTACAAAAACGCACGTTTTGGCACTTTTAGACCACTGTTCGTCGTGGTCGTGGAAGACCGCCAAACCTTCCAACGTTCCCCAGCTTCGACCGATTGAAGGATCTATTCCAATAATTGTGTGGCCAAAACGGAGGAGCAACTGAGCTCCAAGGCCACGAAAGAGCTGAAGAAAATGCCGACATCCATCGTTTCATCGACCATGGCTAAGGTTTGCGGCCAACTGTCAGAAGCCCGCCCGGCAAGGGCGTCAAAGCATTTTTTTTAGAAGGCTTAATAAACGTAGGATTTAAGGAAAATTTGTTCCATCGCCATCCGAAATTATTCTATTTTTTATAATGCATACGTCATAATGAAAATCGTAAGGGGTGGAGAAAGGGGGTGCCACCCTATAAAACACCAGGTGTTATTATCCCACTCGTCGCCACTGTCCAAGAGATAGTATAATTTGTCCCAATTTACTTTCTGATCAGTAACGGATCAAGATTTGTCTTTCGTTTAACAACAGTTTTGATTTCATACCACCTACGGCACTGTGCAACTTGGTCAATTCTAATGCTAAATACTCATTGGTAAGAGCGCAAAATAAACATTATAACATTTTTTGAACACATTCGAAAAGAGCACCATAATTACCTTTCTCATACTGCTGGACCGACACGACCGTCGTTGGTCCGAACGGTAGCTCGATGGCTCTCGTAGAAGACACGGTCGTCGTGATGACTTCGGTTGTGGATGGTGGTATCGTCGTAGGTGGACTCGATGCTGCAACGAACGCAGAAAAAAAACAACAAATCAGCGCAAACACAATCATAAAACATCTGTAAATAATTTATTGCATAGGATAACAATCACCCTCTGAAGAAGAAAACAACAATATCCTTAGGGTGTGTGATCCGGATGTGATGCAATAGTACAAAAGACTGTTAGCTTGGTGGCTAGCCTTCCACTACCGGTGACGGCTAGGACGACGACGACGACGACGGTGCAAGCAGGCTGTGTTTATTAATAAAATGTGTGAACGGATTTGGAACACTGCTTTCAACAAAGTTGTTAATCAATAATAAAACACATCTGAGACCAACGGTTGACGTTGGCGATTGGCACACAATGGCAAACAAATTGTGGCGTAGCGGAACCAAAAGCTTCATATTGTCCTACTGATGGTTAAGGTTTTCTTTTCTGTTGTGTTGCGTTTTTTTTCGCTTGATAATGGACACTAGAGAAAATTTCACACTTTGATGCAAAAAAACCGGTTTTGAAACATAATTATTTTATTAGGACGCGTTCCTTCGTCCTTCAAAGATAACAATAGGTTTCTTGGATATTACAATAGATCGCCTTTTTCATTGGAGCTTTTTAAACAGTGTAAATTGACATCCTAGTCTTTGTCTTGCATTGAAAGATACACAATGGAGAAGAATCAACAGCTGTGACCCGAAATGTTGTGACATTTTCGCCCAATATAGGGTAGAGCACTACTTCGGCCTATTCACCCATTTTGGGCCTATCGAGCAAAAAACATCAAATAAATCTATTGTTTCAGAGTTAACAAGTCAATTATGTGTTTGGTACGATACTTTCGTTCAAAAGCTACCAAACGAAGTCAATGAGAACGCGTGATACAGGCCGAGTTTGGGGTCAAGAAGCAGCGCTAGATTTTTAAGGATCGAAGTAGGCCGCGCGATTGAAATGACGTGTTTTGATTTTGCTAAAAAAAAAGTCTCTGTGTTTTTATGGTTTTTATCAATTTGAACGATTAAAAAAACTCTAAAATTGATGGTGTAAAAAAAAAAGATCTTATTCCGGATTTGTATCTGAAGGACGAAAAGTGGAAGAGGCTGATAGGCAAACAGAAGGTCATCAAGATGGAGTGAATCAAGCGGGCCGCCATCCGGGAAGTTGAAGCATTTGAGTAAGGGTTGGTCGCCGGTAAGGGCCAGTAAGTGCTGCCAGCAGATGAACCAAGAGGTATTCGAAACAAAATTGGTAAGAAATGTCCATTCAAATCGATTTAATAACAAATTTCAAATCTATATACGTGCCAGATTTGGAAATAATATTTTTGAATCTGGAAGTGTGTTTATGATACCATTATCCATTTGATAAAGGTAGAGTGAACATGCGGGGCTTATTGTAAGTAAAAGTGACCTCGGAGTGGTCGTGAATTACCAGGCATTCTGAAATGGGTCACTGGAGCTGCAATAGAGCTAACACCTTCTAACTCCCGGACAAAACCTGCTTTAATTTAAGGGTAATAAAAAGCAGTTTTCTTCAATAATAACACTGCCGGACAGTGGGGGTTAGATTGTACACACACACACACACACACACACACACACACACACACACACACACACACACACACACACACACACACACACACACACACACACACACACACACACACACACACACACACACACACACACACACACACACACACACACACACACACACACACACACACACACACACATACACACACACACACACACACACACACACACACACACACACACACACACACACACACACACACACACACACACACACACACACACACAAGAAGCAGCGCTAGATTTTTAACAATATCACAAAAAAATACTTCATCAAATCTTACGGAAAGGTAAATAAACTTAGAAGTCATCTGCAGTGAAAACATTCCATTTTGTGAAAAAAAATCCCCTTGAAAAATAGAAGCATAGGGCAGGTTGTGCTTAGTAGGCCTAAAATTACATCTAAGCCCTATTTGTAAGTAATGAAATGTACACAGTTAGCGACTAAATTTTTGATTTAGACATTTTTCATTTGGTTAAATGGGCTTTCATCTGAGGTAGGTTTCTACAAGCAAAGTGTTCGGAATTTGATGCAGAACGGTATATCCTACTTCAATCACTCAATTATTATTTCCTGGATTTACCTCCGTAAATCGATGTCTTCCCTAAGTTGATGTCGTGTTAAAAAGCGTTGACAATACTTAACATAAAGTAAAAAAAAATTACCACCAACAGCCTTGTATGAAACACCTGCGGTATCCACAAAAGAGTCAACTAGTATGAAAGCGTATTCGAGGTTTCCCAGACAAGCAACAGAATTTTCACACATTTTCCTGCCACCTTCAAGTGTAGAACGTATGGCCCAAACAAACACTTGTACACACACACCACACACTTTTCCCTTCATCACTTTCGAGTGCATGCCTTTACGCCTTCTTCTTCTTCTTATTCTATCTTCATAAGGGATTTCCACTTCATGCGATTCCCTCGAGGGGAGAACCCGAACGGAATAAATGTGTTGAATTTTTCCTGCCACTACACTCTGTGTGCACAGTAGGTTAGGTAGCTACCAACTGACTATAGACTGCTGCTGGTACTGCTGCTGTTGTACTTTTTGATTAAACTCAATCTGTCCTTCAGGGGATTTTGCTCCAGTCTTCTTGTATTGTGTCGGTTCTTAGTCTTCTTCTCCATGGGCTTGGGGGGAGGGTGCTTCTGGAGTGGAGTGGAAAGTGGTGCTTGGCTTTAATCCGACAACTGCTCCCTTCCGGAGTTCGGAGTAGATTATGGAGTATTAGAATGATGAAGAGTGCGGCTCTTGGGGCGGTCGGAAGTCTTTAGTCAATTGAGCAATTTGGATTACGAGATTTGATCATTCGGGATGTCAGCTTTGAGTGAAGCGTTTAGTATGTATGATTTTTTCAACAGCAAAATTTTGAATTAAGAATGCCTATCAATTTGCATGATTGTGATTGACATAATTTTGTTCATTGAATTTTGGTTTATTTGTCTACTCTCTAATACTAACCCCACCAGAGAAAAATTTCCCGTATCTGATGGTAGGACAACGGTCTGGCTCATGTTTGTCGATGTACCATTAATTAATCTGGGGAAAGTGGGACCGGAAAAATGAAGAGTACCTATTATTTTAAGCCTTCATCCATGCTTTACACGCTTCTGAGACGACCATTTTTCCAGCTCTCAAGTGTGCAAGATACACTTTCACAGTTATTAATTGAGAGCTTTCCATCCCAACTAACAATTTCTGCTTTGTAAGCCAACTTTTGCAGCATTGTGCTGTAAAGTAGCTGAAAAAAAGCTGCAGATACAGCTACAAGCAGAAGCTAGCAAAATTGTTTTGTAGAGCGTTTACTCAACTTTTTCACAACCATTATTCAATTTACCAATCTCACTGAATAACAACAGCCAATAAACGCTAATGTCACTTTTATACACATCCTAATCAACTTTCAACTTGTAGCTGCAAAACAAAGCTAATAAAGTGAATATATTACTCATTTGGTGACTTCTACACAACCAACCACTCTTGCTGAATAACATAAACATCAAAAGTGTTTTTTCAACAACTAAACAACCTGTATTCAGCTAATCAACTGTGTTAGCGCTACTTTGGACGCATTTTTACAGTAAGCTACACACTACCAAAAAGTCATGTAAATTTCCGTGCCCTGAGACCGACACATGCAACCGGCTCAAATGACATAAGAATCAGTTGAAAGAAACGAGAAAATAAATTCAATCAACCGTAGTTTTTGTCGAGTTGCGTATGTTTCGGTTTGAGAACACTTAATTTTACATGACATGTTTGTTTACGTTCCATAATTTACGTCAAAGATGGATTAGGTCTCGTGTAAAAATAGTTATTTTTAAGTGTGTAGGTTTATTTTTAGACGTGTGCAGTTTTACAGCTTCTACTCTGCTCCTTTACAAAGGTGAAGTAACTAGTCGAGAAAAGTGAGTCATGTGCACTTTTATAAAGCCTCTACTCAGCGATCTTGTTGTAGAAGGGCATGTTGATTTTTTTTACATCAGTTCAAAGTGTTGGCGTAGCACAGTTGTTAGTGTCAAGAATTGCCAATGCGGTCATCTCGAGTTCAATTCCAGATTTCCGGTGCAGGATAAATAATTTGGTGGTGTTGCTTGTAACTAATTTGGATTAATTTGATTTACAGCAAAATATAAACTCAATAAATTCCTTCATTGAAAAATAGCGTAGATAATATTTAACCCGGCTTCAAGACAAAGCTGTGTAGTGATAATTGGATAACCGGGAAAAGGTTGACAGGATAACAGCTGTAAAGAAGCGTTACTGGATATGCATTAAGAGCTTGTCCCAACCGTCCAAACAGCCATAAGTAGCTGACTAAGTTCGCCAGATTTGCTTGTATAGAGGTTGAATAAAGGTTTCTTCATATCGTATAACATTTGAATACAGCTTGAGGCTGTATAAATGAAATGAGTAAAGCGTTTACATTTCGAAAATTGTTAGTTGGGATGCCAACCAGTGCATGAATTAGTATATAGTGTGGCAGGCACAATGATACTTTATACAGGGAAGTCGGGAACATTTCCAACCCGAAAGATGTTCTAGACCGAGAGTTGAACTTACCGCCACCGGTTTGGTAGTACTGTGCACCAAAATTATGATTATCAAATTTAAATCTTGTGATATGGTTGAATTCATTTGTAAATCCCAAAACCGAATGCAGTACAAACAAAATTGTAAAAAAAGCAGAAATATACAGGTTGACTGTTAATTTGTGTTACACCCGAAAGGAGGTGAAAGTAGACCACATTTTCAGCACAAAATTGAATGGCAAGCTAGGTCGAAAAATTATTCCTTAACGAATTATAGAGCAATTAATTTTCTACTGATTTAAAGTGCCTCATTCTACTCAGGTATTCATAAACAATCGAAATGTTGCATGACATTTAAATGTAACATTAAACGATTAGAACCGGCTC